ACCCACCCGCATCTTCAGATGCGGGTGGGTCGATAATCTTTCACCATTTTTCACCATACAACTTTGGTTATTTAGCAATGGTTAAAGACTCGAAGTTGATCGCGTAGCGTTATGTCAATTTTGCAACAGATGTATTTACGGTTACATAACCTGCTATTAGAAACTTTACCAAATGCACGATGTAGTTCTGGAAATGGTGCAGCTTTTGGATGACCACACAAAGTATTTGATGAGTATTTCGAAAATGCATTCAGATTTGTTGAATCTATTTTTGTAGTGTTTTTATTTTCGTTCTGTGTGCACCGCAATGCGAGAACAACTCTCCCTCTGCACCATTATATTCTTGTCGGGCATGATTCACACAGTTTTTCCGATTAAAAGTTGCCTCAAGCTCATGCATTGACTCAAACTTTGTCTAAAACGCTTAGCGTATCAAAATAGAGTCTTAAGTGAATGAACGAATTACTTGATAGGTTGAGGATGTATAATAACTGGACGGTCAGTTTTAATCGATGCTGACGAGGTAATGACTGGAGATCGAAATGCTGACGTCGGCTCCACGCTCATCGTGCCGTTCGGTCGTGTTTCCTCTCCGGGTGTGCGACTCCGAACGCACACAACTTACCTGGAGCCGCAGGACAATGACGCAACCTGAATTGCTTGCAACTCGAAAGTCTCTGCAAATACTGAATATTATCAATGCCCACCAACACTTTCCAAATATCCACACATTTTGCACGAACTCAAATATTATCTTAAATATTATCCTAAACGGCAATCGAATTCCAATGTCAACCCTTATTCGAAACAAGCAAATGACAGAATGTGTTCACATTGACGCTGAACATCATGGAAATATTTTGCATAATAATGTGCCCTTTTAAACTCGCTCATTCTATGTGGTTATGAATACTAATCATTCAATTTATGTGTTTGCTCAATATTTGGACATAGCAACAGTAATCGAAACTCGAATATACACGATTCGTAGCGACGTGGTTATCGAAATATTGCTAAAATTCAGGCAAATCATTGTGGTGTGGGGCATATACAACAGCTCATTTTGGCTGCAACGCATGCAGAAAGAAGTAACTCTTTTACTGTTTCTCGCATCGCAACATGTAAATGAAACGCTCAGTATGATCGTTCACCGAGAAATGCAAAAGATGTGCGATTTTCATGACTTCGTGATTTGATATGCTCTGAAACGAAATTTTTGCGAAATTTTAATTTGCTTCAACACAGGATAATTGCGTTCCCGACTTTTCGATTATCCTTTCCAACGCATTTCCTGAGTCCCACTACTTACTAGATGAATTTTTTATTCGAATATTATGAAAGGTTTCATCGGAAACTAATTGATGCCAAATTTAGTTGTCAAATGTATTCAATGACAGTTGATGAGTTCATTGTACATCCAGAAGAGTCAGCTTTTATCAAGTAATCGTTAATAACATCATGATAGAATTTTCTCAAGACTGTTGATTCAATAACTTTCCACCCGGTCGAATGCAAGGAGAACACGAGCATCACCGAGCAATTTGAAACATCACTGCCGTGAGAAAAAAAGAGAAACGCGAGCAGAAAATCGCTTTAAAGTGGAACCAAAAATGGACGCAATATGAAAAGACTGGACCAACAGAAGTGTTAATGAATATCAGAATAAGATGCAACGATGTTGCAAGAGGCGTTCGTTGTTGAACTACTCTTAAATGAATATCACTGTTCGGTGATGTGCTTCAATACAAAGCCAAATGAATAATTGATAGCCGTTTTTCAGAGTGAGTGTGACAGCACGCATTATACATTATAAATATGACATAAGCAAAAAGAGCAACAAAACAAAAACCAGAACCTTATTCAGTCGCATTTAATATATTCAAGTGAAATTAATGACATGAACTAGAAATTGCAAACGACTAATGAATTCATAAATCAAATGACAGTAACAATTTGTAAGTGATCTCTGGTTGCTGCAAAACGAATAACGAGAATGGTGTGACGTTATACACGAAACATTCAAGTTAAATAATAACTTCTGTTTTCAGCATAATCGTTTGACCAAATATTTCCGCAAACTGATTCACCTTAAATAATGGTCCTCACCAAGATTGCTCAACACATTCAAGATTGTATGAGAAGTTGAGAAAAGTGACTGATGCGAAATTTGGAAAAAACATGAGAATTCTTGACAAGGGATTTTCCGACGCTCAATAGTGTGATCGGAAAACT